CAGTTGACCGGATTCCGGACAAAGTAGCATCTGAAGGAATCAAGAGCTTTTTAACCGTAGTTCATGCTATTGTAGTTCAACAAGCAGAGGAATATAAGCAAAATAAGAAGTCAGAATTGACATTTAAAGAGCTTGAGAAGAAGGCAACTGTGCTTAGATCGCTGGAGTCCAAGTATGGCCCATATTCAATGCCTGATTCCGCTAGCACTTCTACAAAGAACCCAGTTGCTGAGAAGCGGGCAAAGGTGGAGGTGTTGAGGGCAAAAGCAGAAGAAGAGAAGAGCAAGCATGAAAAGTCAGTGAGTGTGACAAGAGCCATGACACTAAATAACTTGCAGATGGGGTTTCCTCATGTCTTTGAGGCGATGGTGGGATTTTCAAGTGTGTGTATGCAGGCATTCGAGTCACTATATAACCAAGCCAAAAGTGCTAATCAGGAGCTTGACGTTAAGAGGTTACTACCGTAAGGAGAAGATTCAAATTTCAGGAAGATTGGCAGCACTGTAATCAGTTTTCTGTGTATATCGCTTATCCTTTCAGTAAGCTTGATGTTGAGGGGTTACTAAATCGATGAAAAGACTTAAAGTTCTGGAGGAATGACAGCATTGTAATCAGTTTTCGTGTATAGATAGATGCACATCCTTTCAGTTATCATTAACCATAGTGGAGGAGACTATCAGTGGCAGGATTCCCCTATTTAAGATAACCTTGACACAATTAAGCAGATTAGGGAAACACCGACCCGGAAACAGAAGTGGTTGAATATTTGGAATGCAACAGAGTAAGGATATTCTAGTTAGTTTTCAACTTTTCAAATGTTTGTTCTGTTTTCTCACATGAAAGGCGTCTGGAATGCTATTTACTCTTCCCATGTTTAGTTTGATAGTTTTCCTTTTCTTCTTGTGGGTAGTTTAGTTTTATTTAATTATTCTTAATGAAGGTCTTTTTTGGTTTGTTTTCTAATTCGTTTGTTTTAAGTACTATGTCAGTTGTTATGAACCACAAGCAAAATTCAAGTTCGGAGAAAGAGAAGGCTTTGTAGGTTACCTTTTCTTCTTAGTGTTCACACATACATTAAGCTTGATTGCAATATTCAGATTCATTAAAACTAGATTTTCATATCAGGAAGGCACAACAGGTTGCTTTCCATGGCATCTTTGCCCATATTCTGTGTGTTTTGGGCTAAAGCCAAGCTATTGTTCATGTTGGCATGATATAAGTCTAGAATTCAAGGGATTATATTTGGACCTCATGTTTCTTTATAGTTCTTGTGTATTGCAGAAAATATCACATTCCTGAGATTCGGAATGAAAACGCACTTATGAACCAGAAGTTTGACGAAATGGGTTAAAAGTAAAACCAGGCTGCTGAATATATATACAAGTTACAACGCCAATATTCACAAAATACAGATTAGATAAAGATCAAAACTACATGAAAGTATTTTTATCATTCAATCTAGAGAACGGGATCTGATGTGCACTTCCTAAGCAACCAAATCAGGCGTTTTTCACCTTTGAGAGACAAGAACACCTCCCTTGCAATGGGTTTGTTGAACAGATCAAGAGCAGCAAAATAGACTTGCTCATCAACACCTTGCATCTTATCCAATTCTGCAATACAATTAGCTATGGTGTATCTAGCATTATGTTGCTGTGTAGCAGCTGTCCTCAGCTTTGATGCAGCTGCCATCTCCAATATGGCTCCTGCAATAGCATCATCAATACCCTTGCGCCCTCTTTTACGGATACCGGTAGTGCTAGGTGTACTAGGTTGAATTGTTTCTTGATCATCGACGGTGTCATTTGCTTCCTCAGAATCTGATGAGGACACTTCTTGCTCCAGTGGACGAGAATTTGGATCCCCACCCTCGTGTTCAGCTGGATGGTCATGTTTCCCATTTGTTGGTGGTTCTGAAAATATAGTGCACAGCTCTTTATAAATTGGGCAGCCACTGCTTTTTAAAGTCTCGGCATCAGGATGTTCCTGCTTAAAGAAGAATCCTACATATCAGGTAGGTTTAGAATTGTGTTGTACAAGCAACATATATGACGAGGAACATACCCTGACATATTCAGCCCACACTTCATCACTGGCTACAATAGCCCCTGTGGATTCATCCCAACTGAAGTCACTTCGATCAAGAAGTGAAGTAACTGTAACATAGATCCTCCTCAAAACTGCGCCTCGGTTCTTCAGTTGTTCCTTGTCCCATTTCAGACCTGTTCTCTTATGGAACTCATCACACATATACTTCCATGCTTTCTTGCCAAAATTATGATTTTTTCTGTTCCCTTTGTGTACTTGATCCACCATTAAGTTTACAAGTATCTTAGTAAGATGTGTTGTCCACCTAGCCCTTGACTGTTGCTGCTGATGCTGAAGCGTTAGTCCCCGCGTCCGAGTAGGACGGTTTGCCATCTGAAATCACAAAACATGATTCAAACTAGAAGGCAGGTATAAGCCCAAACAACAAAGAATGAATATTGCCCTACATTTTTCAATTGGGTCAACTTTACATAGACAAAAATGCAACAAATGAGTTGACTAACAAGCTCTAAGAAGTCAAAATTATCTGTTCTGAAGTCTGAACAGACTTAAATGAACCACCTTTTTATGAGAATAAATTCTACATTTCCAGGGGACAACTGATGACAAATCTCAGTTGCACAGATTCTGATGGCAACCCATTTCTTCTTATAACCCCACTTCTATTCAAGAAGTTATTTAGAACATTCCCATTACAACTTTTACATCAAAATGCAGACCCACCTGGTATAATCATGCATCTGCTTGACTTTGAGTATGGGTGACAAACAACATGCAAAATACAATACAACCTCAATTGATAAAACTTCTACAATTAAGACAATAGTTTTCCCTGATGCAATTTTCACCAAATAAAAAACCTATTAACTGAAAAATTAAGTGCAAAAATAATTTCAAGTTATTCATATTTCAAAATTAAAAGATTGAAAGTGTTAAAATAAGCTGAACCAAGAATAAACCCTAAAGAAGTGGAGAGAGAGAGAGAGAGAGAGAGAGAATAAGCTGAGCCAAGAATAAACCCTAAAGAAGTGGAGAGAGAGAGAGAGAGAGAGAGAGAGAGAGGTACCTTTGAAGAAGCCCCAACTCTCCGTTGAGGAATGAACTGCTGCTATATTATTAACGAGTCTATATACCCAATGATGATGACGAGGCGGAGGAGGAGAAAGTAGAGGGAAAGTCTGAAGATAAAAAAAGCGGAAGATCGCCGATATCCTCCGAATTTAAGAACTGCGTTTTTCCGGTGAACAATTCCGTGCTCCCAAACAAGGCTCTCTCTCAGTCCCAAAAATATTTAAAAAGTTAAAAATTTCTCGCTTTGCCTTCGTATGTTCAGGAGAGGAGTTATTTTGATATAAGTTGGAATTAGATGTTAAGGACTTTTTTTTGTTTGCATTTTTCTTTTTAGCGAAGATTTTTCTGTGTTAATTTCTGTAGTTGTAAGTGAGGTACTTTCCTGCTGCAGTTTGAGGTCTAGAGGCAAAGACATGATCATGCGTCTTCAGAAACTGTTTTGCCATTTCTGCTGATGAGGCAATTACCACTGGATAGGAGCCAAACTTAAGCTGCATTAAGGGTCCATAAGTTTGGGATAATTTGTGAAGGCATTGATGTGGGAGAGGTCCCATGAGGTTAAGGTTGCCAAGTATAGGCCATGGTTTTGGACCTGGTGGAGCTTTTGGTTTGTGGCTTTGGGAAAATATAATTTTTGATAGGAAGGCCAGAGTAGCGAGACATGCCAGGGTTAAAACAACCAAAGAAGAAGCAGCCTCCATTGATGTGGGTTGTGTAATGGTGAGAATTTGAGGTGATCTTGCATGTATTTATAATGCATGTATGTACATGATGATATACTTGCTGACCATTTTTAGTCTTGATATTATTCTCGTGGGAATTTTATATATCTCAACTTTAACTCACTATAAATGAAGTACACCTTAAGTTAAAGGGGTGAGCAAAACTATTTCCATATAAATGAGGTGGAGTTTAAGTGAGCATGTAGCTATGAGCAAATTGTAGGTATGGTATATGCATAGAATTTCACTATTATTTTATTTAGGGAGATAATACCCAATATATTGTCCATAGTTTTTCCCAAAAAAGAATATATTACCAATTTACCAAATATCGACAAAATAACAACTAAATTAATATAAATTCAGTATTTAATTAAAAGGACATGTTAGAAAGACCACATTTTATATAGAGATATTTAGTCAAATACCCATTCTTAGCACTAAAACTATAAATAAACCCTACACCATTTAATTTCTATAAACAAACCCAAAAAATGACAATTGGTCATATTGAATTTAATTTTGATTATTAAATTACTTTGATGTCCAATTGAATATTTAGATATTTAGTCAAATACCCATTCTTAGCACTAAAACTATAAATAAACCCTACACCATTTAATTTCTATAAACAAACCCAAAAAAAACCCAAAAAATGACAATTGGCCATATTGAATTTAATTTTGATTATTAAATTACTATGATGTCCTATTGAGTATTTTGGGCTTGTTTATATGTTTTGGGGTTGGGTTTGTTTTGAGAAATCAATGGCAGTTTTGTAATTTAAAAGAAGTTAAAAGCCTTTTTGTTATGTTATAAATGAGTTTTGGGTGTGTTTCTAAAGTCCATTTCATATAGGGTATTTTTATAATTTGAGCTCCTATATTGGGTATATTAGTGAATCTCCCTTTTTATAAGCACTTAATCAGCTACCAAGAAGATCAGAGCTGGCTCTTGATATGACAAAACTTCCACTAGTGACAATACAAAGAACTCGGATTTCCGAATCTGGCATTGACCACAAAAGGTTGGGTAGGGGGCAGGTTGTACAACTTTCATTCGGTACCAGAAAAAAATTTAATGATTACTTTCTAGGAACTAGTTTACAGGAACAAGCCAATCTAAACTAAGTTTTGCTTCTCAAGTACTCCCTATGTCTTACCATTCTTCTATTTCATCATCGGAAATTTCGGTTTCTTGACTGTCAAAACTTATCGTTTCAACATTGTCTTCTTCCTTGTAGCCATGCACTGCCCTAAATCCAAGCCATTTCAACACGGGTGTGTACTCAGTAGCAATAACTGTCAAATCGGATGCACACATTCCACTATAAGCGCCAAATCTCCGTTTTACCATCTCCTTCTGCAATGGCACATCAAAAAGAA